TTTTCCTAGTAAGTAACATTGTCATTGTATTCCACAGGAGCAACTCTTTCCTATCTGAAGCTGGGTGGCATTCAGGAGCTTTAAATTTCTTTCACGGCCAAATTCAAGCACTTTTAAACTGAAATAAATGTATTACCTTTTTGCTTATAGTATTGTTTGTCAAGTAAGCCTGAGATTCAGCCTCTTGTCCTGGAGAAGACTGCTGTGCAGAAGTACCGTGTTACTGAGTTCCAGCCTACTTACTATGTTGCTGAAAGTTTTAAAGATGCAAAAGAAAAGCTAAGGTAATCCAGTCATTCCACAGAAGACCTGGTTTCTTGTCCATTGCCAGTACAGTGGACCCCATCGCTATAATGGGTCTTGGGTTGGCAGCAACATTTTGAGAGGCATTAGAAAAAGACATGCAGTGCTTAAAGAGATGAAGCAGTTGTTACCTTATTCATGAACCCAAGAATATATGGTTAAAGACTTTCATCTGTATAACCAAAATGCAACAAAAAAATTATTAGTCCAATAGCAACGATACTAATGTTTAGGGTCAAGGCTGACTAAGTCTTTAACAATATTATTGTAGTTGAAAATTCTTGTAGAAAAAAATCCCCTAGTATCTGCTTCTTTTCTCGGTCTTTTGTATCTTAAGTCAATAGTTCCAATCTTGTGGTAGGGGATGAAGTTGTCAAGTAATCAGCATCTTCAGGTTTTCAGAGCAGGACTGTGTTGTTAATGAATGGAGTTTCTTCCTCTCTTTTGTAGAAGGTGGGTAGTGTACATGCTTGCTTTCTTCATCCTCAGCCCAGCGTTTCTTCAGGGACATTTTTATGCTTTCTAGCATGCTTTACATCTTGCTCTTTCTACATGGGTCTGCAAATCTGTGTTACTTTACTATTTATGTTAAATAATTTTTTCTTTTTCCTTTTTTCTCCTCAGCTCCTAAGTATGCTTTACTGTGAATAACTGACCAGTGGGTAGTTGTTGATAGCCTGGGGACCACCAGCATCATTCTATGCTCATACCTTTAAGGACTCTGTTATCATCCCATGCTGGTACTCCTTTATGGTGCATCATTACTTTAGGGTCAGCCTTAGTTCCCTATGTACAGTGTAACTACTTGTGATTCCTGCCTATATGAAAAATATTTAAAAAAGGCATTATAGCACACAATTAAGAATTAAGCACAACTAAAACAAATTAGGTAATAGCTACATGGTCATTTACAACTGTTATTACAGCTAAACAAAACTTGAAACAACCCTAATAACCTGAATCCTGAGGCCTGTGGTTAGTTTAATACAGAGCCTCCAGGTTGTTACCAGCCATGTGTTTACAAGATAACAGGGCTACACAGAAATCTTTCAGTCATCTGTGGCTGAAATACAGATTCAGTTCCAGTTCAACAAGATTTTGAAAAAAAAATAGTCCAGGTTCAGTTCTGGTTCTTGAAACAGGAATGGCTCAGATTATATCTGGGGTTTAGATTGGGTTCTACCTCACAGGAGTATTTCTATTTCTGTTTAAGAAAACCACCACTGTACTTCCAGATGTTAGTCAAGTTACTGAGGGTTAGCCTTCGTTCATACTCAACAAATTCTTCACATGGAGATATACAGGGACTTGTCCCAGACCTGCAGTGTCTTCTTTCTGCTCCTTTCTCCCATTCACAGATAAACACATATTGAGACCTTAGATATTCTGCTGTTCCAGGCTCCCCAGCTCCAAGGTCTTCCTAGCTACCTCCCCTGCTGCTTCCTCAGTCTTCATAAGCATGCAGAATCTGCTTCTGCCCTTTTCTTTCGGGTAATACCTGAGAAAGATGGCCTTCTCTTCTGGTCTGTGCTATTAATATCCTGCACACAGTTTCTACCTTCTCTGTATACTTCTCTAAATGAATAGCATGTTCCCTGAGAAAGTGGAAGATGTTGCCTTGTTCTGTACAAACCATCTTGGAAATTCTTTTATCTGTTTCAATGACAAAATTGTAAAAGTGGTTAAATTGAAATAGAGGTCTGCAGGTTGGTCCAGTGCCTTTGTTTGTGGCTTGCACCTGGACATGTGTTTGTGTGTAACAGAAAACCTCCCAAGAAAAATTATTCTGAGGCTGACCTAAAATATTTCAGCTCAAGGCATTCATCTTCTGATTAGATTCTCACCTTCAGCTGAGGTTTAGGCAGACTGTGTTCTACAGTGGATCTCTCCCCTTAGAAAAACTGGACTGATGCTACAGAACACTTTTATCATAGCAAATACAATTTTTTTCCGCTGTGACACCTTGTGGCCTGCTCACACTGAATTCTATTTGAGACAATGGCCTTAGCTGACAATAACTAGGACTAAACTGAAGGAGCAATGCGGAGATGGCATCCAGCATATTGCACTGTTCTGGTCATATGGGATTTACTGTGCTGAATCACAGTCTGTATAGTGGGTCTCCATGATCAACTCCTGCGTGCTTTCCTTCCTCTTTCAGCAATAATTTCACTAATCCAAAGCAGACATATAAGCCAGTATCCTGCTGGGGTCTACAAGGAGCCTGGAACAATAGCTCTGACTCTGACTATTTCATCCCATTCAGAGTTCTCCTTTCTACAGTTCTGTGGTCATGCAAATTAATGTTTTCAAAAATCTTAATGCTTCTGCTATGGATTTAACTATTTTGCAGCAGGGAAGGCTGCAAATAAGGGGTGGCAAGAATACTGCTTCACTCCATTGACTGTCTCCTATCTTTGTAATGACCTAGAAGCCACTACCAACCATGCCAGAAGTTAGCACTCTGCTTGCTCTTTTTATGCCAGGATGGCATAGGAACTTGACCTTTTTTCCCCAGAAATTGCAGATTTCCTATATTTTGATTCACTGAACGGAAAACGAGGCTTTTAAGTTTGGCAAATCCCAAATAGCTACATAGTTGGCCTTTATCAGAAACAGTGTTGCCATACCAGTAACTAACTAGTCCCGTCTGGAAAACAACAAAGGTAGTAAGGGCAAATGCAGATTCAAGTGTCTTACAGAATGCTGTAGGTTTCAGAAGACTCAGCAGTCAGTTATTTCCTCTCATAGATTTTGTTATTCCCCTCATCAACAAATGCACACACTAAGAAAAGAGTGAGTTAGTTACTGAAAAAAGGAGCTTTTCAAGTTTGTATGTGTTTTTGTATTTTTGCCTCAGGAAATTTGCTCAAACAATCCCTCGTCCTTTCTCTGTTCGGTACAATCCCTACACCCAGAGGATTGAAGTCTTGGACAATGCAAAGCAGCTGAAGAATTTAGCTGACACTATCAATAGTAAGGAACTATGGATCTGTTACCTTGACTTCCTCAAAACTTGTATCAGAAATAGCAACCATAAAGCAAATTTTGTTTGGATGCATTTAATGCTCTGAGCCTGACCAAGATAAAGCAGCACACATCTCCATTCTCATGCAAAAATGCTTTCTAATTCTATTCAAGCTTCAAAATAGCATTTTCACTTGACTGTAGTTTGTTACATCTAAAATACCCAATTTTAGTGGTGATTCTAGAAAAGGCCAGAAGGCCTTGTGATGGATTCTGATGCCTTTAGCTGTTCCCAGGAAGGAGCAAAAGGAAAAGCTTGGCTTTAATCCCATTTCCTTTTGCCATTCCAGCCTTTTTCCTGATGCATTTCCCCCCTAACATCAGCCAGCCTGCTGAGAGACAGCACCTCTGATCCCGTGAGCCATCCTTGTATGGCTGATGAAGGCAAAGGGCTGACTCTGCAGACTTTACTCTGTTACTGTGTAAGGACCTTATCAAATGTGTCCAATCCAGCATTTCCTTGTTCACCTTACTCTCTCAGGGAATGGATGATAGGAAGGGTAAATATATACAGGAGTGTTAGAGATGGGCTAGCTATAGAATTAACTGCTTTGATTATTTCCTTTGCAGGTGAGATGGGGATCCTTTGCAATGCCCTCCAGAAGATAAAATGAAGATTTGATGTAACATACCAATCATTGGCTACATGTAACATACCAATCATTGGCTACTGACTAGAAGTGCCATGTGAAAATGCCAGTCTTCATCTAGCCTTTGTCTATTATCTTCCTGTGTACTGCATGAATGCCTATGATATATATATTAATTACTATAGATTAGCAGAGAAACAGACATTTGCAGGTGACCCTTGACTCTTTCAGCCTTCAGACACTAACCATTTTTTCTCACTAGTGCATAAAAATGACCTTATTTCTGGGAATCTGGGGAAAGCCTCCATAAGTCTTTTGCCAAAGGTTAACATAAGAGGGAGATCTCCACCATTCAGAGCTATAGTCTGCTGCAGGTGTGAGGTTGCACCACCACACTGGGCCCACAGGCAGGCTAATCCACTTTGCTTTCTCTCAAAGTCATTCTCCCCTCACTTTTGTGCAAGGTTCCCATGGAGTCCCAAACTCTATACCTTTCAGGGTGTGTACATATACTGCTTAGCCCTCTGTACCTCTACTTTAACACACAAGCACCTAAAAATGTGATGCTGCCATTGATCCAAAGCATAGATGCTAGCAAAAAAGACAGCAAATGTGCTGCAGACTCATTAACAAAGATTTATCACTGTGTGTAAATATACTGTATTTTCACAGGCACCAATCCCAAAAAGGTTTGTGCAAGTCAAGAATGCTGTGTGCTGGGATGTGTCATTGGTCTGCAAAGCAGAGCAAGGCTCTAAGATTGCTTATTCAGAGCATTGAGTCTGTGCCTCAATATAGTATCCACAAAAAAGCCTCTTCAGAGGAAAGTTATGTAAGGGCAAGTCTGTGTGGCTTTTTGCAGCTGGATGTGAGGTCAGTTTGCCAAGCAAGAAACCATGCAGATGTTTTAACAGGACATCAAGGCCTTATTAGACCAGTCTCAGAGTTGTGCTGTCTGTAATGTTGTGTAACATTATGGATTCAGAGCTGATTCAGGATCAGTCAGTTTACAGAAGGGGGAGACCTCTTTTAATAGACATCCTCAGCTATTCACTGTGAAAGGCTGATGTGTGAAGGCTACCTTGTGTTGTGTGTGTCCTTCTCTAAGAGTGCTTTATCAGCACTGTTACAAAGTGTCTCCTGACTTTCTGGGTGCTGTATATGGGAACAGAATAGAGCAGAGCAAAGCAGAACAGGATTTCCAGATTGAAACAGTTCTGCATCATGATACTAATATGATTCAGGTGTCACTTTTCTGTTGAGGATCCAATGATGGAGAGGGATTTAAAAGTCCATGAGTCTCATACCTACTTTTGTACTACTCTTGTAGTTATAGTTTGAAAATCAATGGAGCTTTAATATAAGCATCATCCTTTAGGAAGATAGAAAGTACAGCTGTTTCCATTATGTTTATGGTGAGTAATGGCATTAATCTAAGGATATCAGCTGGAACCTTTTCAATAGACATATACTTATGCAAAATAGTATAATTTTGATGCTTTGAAGTAAGCTTTTTTATCTCTGTATCTTTTTTCTTCCTTTTTTTCTCATGACAATGTCTGTGTAGATCTTTCAATACTGCTTGGCATGTATTTTCAGTATGAAAGTAGCCCTTATTTTTCTGTCTTAATATAATAGGGCCCACAAGGTAACTGAATACCACAAAGAGAAAATTTCACCCCAAGAGTGGTCTTTCAAACTAATCCTCAGGCAGCTGTCCAAACTTCTCTGCTTCTGGTTGTTGTTGTGAGGGACAGCAGCAGTAAATCTGCAGTGATACTGAGAATTCGTGGTTGTCTTTTATGTACAAGTGGAATGGTTAAAGAGTATTGATGTCACATATCTGATTTTGTGTCTCTTAATGCAGGTTTAAATGAGCAATAACTCCAGCCAAAGCAGCATGACATAGTTGTTCAGCAAAACTGAGAGATGAGAAAAAGTTAAATACTCAGTATTTTGAAAGCAGAAAAAATATACTGCAAGTAGATTTTCTTGCAGAACAAATTAGCTTTAAATAGTACAAATAACTTGCATTTTAAATAGTACTTCTTAATGGGTGGATTCTTATTTCATGCTTAAGGAAAACTGAAGTTGTGTAGCAAAATGCTTTTTGTGTTATCTAGCCAGTGTAACTCCTCTTTGTAAGGTAACCACATAGGACAATCAGAATTAAATACCCATGTTGGTGGGAATGCCCATTAGAGATGTGTTCCAGTTCAAAGGCGGCTTTCTTGGACTGGTTGACCATCACTCATCCAGAGAAGATCATTAAACTGATATTAAAAAAATATATATCTCGATGTGTGTAATTACCTAGAAATGTACAGCAAAGCCTTGCTTGCTCTATCTTTTCATACTCTGTAGATCTTTGTATGCTACTTTGACTAACCTATCCCAAGCCAATTTTGTGAGTAACCTTACTCTCTTCTATCCCACTGTGATCATATTTCTTGATTTCCCCATCTCCAGCTCTGTTTCAGGTGATCAGAGAAGCCTTTTCATGAGGCTCTTTTCCTTTCCAGTGACCTTGGCCAAGGTCAGTGATGGTGATGGAGGGAGGGCTTGTCAGCGCAGGTGACACAGGGAGGTGGTCTCCTCTGGGTATCTTAAGACACCTAGATCTGGCAGCAGCCTTGGAGAAGGAACACTTCATTCTCCAAAGGGCACAGAAATTATTGAAAGAGGGATTAAGCACAGGAGGACTCCACAGGAGTGCATTCTTTGAAATTCTGTTTCTTTGTGGCTTCAAACCATGCTGGCAGTTGGCAGAGAAGACTTTTTTTGATGTTTAAATGTAACCATATGAATTAATCTAAATAAACAAAAATATTAATGCAATATCCTTCTCAAATTAATAACACTGAGCTCATACAGTATGGAGATACCTGCAACAGTAACAAATCAAAATTGGGCAGGTTGCTTGTGGTGATCAGCCATAGCCATTCAAAGCACCCACACCAGTGGCTGCAGGAAAGGGGTAAGCCTACTCTTGGCAGGGGAGAGTCCCACCTTCTTCAGGGAGAAGCCGCCTGTCCCCATGGGAAAGGATGACATACTGTGCTCTGGTCCTTTCATAGCCCTTTAAACTGCAGCATCCCGCCTGAGATCTCTCCTACTATAATCCTGGAAGTCCCCAAAAGTGCTGAAAGCAGGACTCTGGGATGTCTCATCAGAGCTGACCTACATCATGAGTGAGGCCTTCGTGGGCCTGTCCCAGGTGTGGATTCAAGGTAGTATTGGAGCGTCCACTGGCTAGACAAGGGCATTTCACCACCTGGAGAACCAGGGCTCTCTGTGCTGCTTTTGCAGTGGGCTGCAAAGCTGTTCTGTAAGCTCTGCCCATGCTGATTCAACCATCACACTGTCTGATGAGTCCATTCTGGCTCTGTAAAGAAACCTCAATTCATATGCAGAAACATCATTAGTACAAACATACAGAGACAGGGCTCAGACAATAGAGCATAAAAGACAGCCATGGGAGCCTGATGTCCCTGATCTGCCTGTACGTGTGACCAGTGCCTTAAACATTCACCTTGAATCCTATGGCCTTCACATGCATGTCCACCTGTAGCCGGAGTAGAGGACATTGTGCCATTTGCTGTTTGTGCCATGCCTATGGCCTGGATGTGGGGATGCATGGGAAAAACTCAATTTGAACTCCAATAGACTCAGCTTGCTTGCCTCCACTGCTGGGGGTACATGGGAGTGGGAAGAGCCTTTTTCCCCCCTTAAAGTGCCCCTTTTCTTCCCTTACCCCATCCAGTTTACAGCTGCAATTCAGCCTCCTCTGAAGTGCCCCCTTGAGCTCCTGGACCAACCCCCGTGGTGACATGAGCTGAGCCAGGCTGGGGTGGGAGGACAGGAGCTGTGTGCATAGCGGATGGTACCATAGCCCAGACCCAGGCCAAGTTTAGCACCGCAAACAGCATCTTGCCCTGCCCCACATTGCCCTACCTTGCTCTGCCCTACCCTACTCTGCCCTGCTTTGCCTTGCCTTGTCCTGCCCCCGGGCAGAAGCTGGACCTGAATGCACTCGGCCAGAGGGCATCTCTTCCCAGGCTGGCACTCACCATGCCCTGCAAAGCCCTCAGTGCCTGAGGACTGGGTGGGATGATGTTCCTCAGGACACTGAGACCTGCCTCCCGGGCATGGGGCTCCAAATTTCACCTTGGTTTTTCTGTCTCAGAAAGGCAATAGATGAAGAAATTGAGAGCTTCACAGTGCTCTGTCTTGGGCGAAGGGGGAACATGGTGCTGCCATGGTCTCTGGAGAACAAAATTTTTCTGCACTATCTTTATCTTTCCTGGCTGTGGAGGAGGCAAAAGCAATATAGCATTGGGGGGTGTGACCCAGTCAGGATCAGCTAAGGGGTACATCAGAAATGGCTCCATCTGCAAAGAGAGAAGAAAAAGGTGATCTCCTTTGTGGACCTGCAAATTGACTTTCACAAGGGTTCCAGCACACTGTACCTTGGGGTATGAAGATACAGGTGGTCATACCCAGAAACATGTTTGTGGATGTCAGGGGATACCATGGTCTGGCAAGAGCAGAGCTGAATCCCACTTTGAGGTTGCCCTGCCAGCTGCTAGAAAGATGTGGCCCTGGGCTTTTTGAGAGTCTACTTCACTGGAGAAAAAATCATGACAGAAATAAGTTCTAAAAGAGGAGCTATGCCTGGAGGTAACACTCAGCATTTGTAGAGCTAGGGTAGAACTGGTCAGATAGACCTTGTGGGCAGGAAAAACTTAGAATCAGGCAATAAACTTTGAGTCTGGCTCAGGTTTCTCTGGCACTCCCACAGTTGTGTTTGTGCAGAGACAACACCACTTGGATTAAGCTGGGATTTAGGGGAAGAGCCCCCTTTTGTTCCCTGGGGACATGGTCAATGCAGAGAAAGCCCCAGTGAGGTAAGACAGAATGGGGAGGAAGAGTGACCTCAGGCATTGTGCAGTGCAGTCCAGACTGGGAGATGCAAATGGGGCTTAGGCTAATTGCCTCTCCACAAAGGAGCCCATCTCCAAGGTTGAACAACTTGCAGACACTTTCAAACAGAACAGGAGGGCCACGCTTTGAAGTCATCAGAGGAGGAGCGTTATCTTGGGCTCTTGCGCACATCCTACGCAGGAGGTTTCGTTTGATGTGACTGGCATGGCCAACATAAATGTCTGTACATCTAACACAGTAGCAAACAGCTTGC